ATGTAGCCGTTGACCAAGGCTATCTTTCCCAAGTTGAATCGTATCAATTGATGGCGTATAACTTGAGTTATGCATTTCGGCGCACTAGGGGGTAGGCTGCCATAGAATCTTAACTCAATCACAAATTACTCACAAGAGAATTAGAGTAGCTAGAAACCAGATAGGAGGGAAGAGGAGGACGAGAGAGAAGGTCCCAAGGAGTCCCCAACCAAGGAAACCCCATGCCATACAATTTCCCTCTCTCTAGGCAACCCAACTTTGACCTTTGTCACTTTCCCAACCTCCACAATCCACCTCACCCAACTTGGCCACACTTGCCAACCTGGTTTGGTTTCTCCCAACCACTTGGCAGCATCTACAGTGATGTTGACGAATTTCCCAACCCCCAAAAGTCTATACTCCTTATGGAGTCAACCCCACAACTTCCCATAGTCACCACAACCAAATATCAAAAGCATACGAACTTCAAATGTTCGTAACTTTCTTGTTCGTGCTCCGATTGAAGCGATACTTGGCTCGACGGAAAGCTCTTGAGCAGAGGAGTCACTTCAGATATCTGCTCAAGCCAAATGACATTCACACACACTCAGAAAGTCCAAACCACAGAAAACACAAATTCTTGTACACGCTCACACCACGCATGCAATGCACGAACATATAATGCGAGGCAGACAGACGTGAATGCAAATGATAGCATCACATAACACCTTTTACCGTCTCTTCCCCTACCGCACTGCCCCGCTCCCTCCCCCGCCACTCTTCCTCACCCCAGGTGTCCCGTCGGTAGACCCCCTCCCTCCCCAGGGTGCTGCTCCCTCAGGTGTTTCCCAGGTAGACCCGGTCGAGCCTGTCGAGGTAGCTGTTGACTCTGGTCCTGCGCGAGGTGCTGAGCGTGCTGAGCCTGGTGGTGCTGGGTCTGGGGGCACTGAGACTGGGGGTGCTGAGCCTGGGGGTGCAGAGACTGGGGGTGCTAGGCCTTGGGGTGCTGAGACTGGGGGTGTTGAGGCTGGGGGTGCTGAGCCTGGTGGCGCTCCCTCTTCACAGCAGCTGCGTGAGTGGTACTCCCAGCACTACAGCCTCCGTCGTGGGGCTACTGGAGCTGGGGGGTCTGCTGGAGTCGGGGCTGGTGGCCTCGCAGGTGCAGTGTCGCAGCCAGAGCCTCCCTCCCCTCAGCGGCTACGTGAGTGGTACGCTCGGCGCTGCAGCCTCAGGAGTGGAGCTCCTGGTGTTGAGGTACCGCCAGCTGGAGGCCCTGCTGCTACTGGAGGTCCTGGTGCTGCTGGAGGTACTGCTGGTGCTGGTGCTGCTGGAGGTACTGCTGGTGCTGGTGCTGCTGCTGGTGCTGGTGCTGCTGGAGGTCCTGGAGCTGCTGGAGGTGCTGCTGGTGCTGCTGGAGGTCTTGGAGCGGCTGGAGGTGCTGCTGGTGCTGCTGGAGGTTCTGGAGCTGCTACAGGTGCTGCCGGTGCTGCTGGAGGTTCTGGTGCTGTCTCTGCTGCTTCTGGGGGCACTTCACGGCCGCGGCCGTACTTCGTTCCGCTCCTTCAGCAGGTTCTTGGTCAGCCGCCTCCTCCTTGTCCTGCTCCCTCCTTAGAGTGTCCTCCGCCTTACCAGTCGCAGTCGCAGTTACCGCCTGCCTCGCCACTCCCTGGTCCTTCTCCCTACACTGGTCCGACAGGAGGTCTTACAGAGCGTCGTGAGCCTGAGTCTCGTCCTGTGTCGCCTGAGTCTCGTTCTGCATCACATGTTCGTGCTGCTCGCACTGGTCGTCGTGTCCCGCGTCAGCGTCCTCCTGTTGTCCCAAGCACTCACCAGATGACGCTTCGTCCCTCCACTGCTCCACAGCGTGTCCCGCTGCGTTCTCCTCCTGCGTCCTCCCTTCCTGCCCTTGCTGACCCGGAGTCTGACACTCTTCGTGCTGCTAGTCCCACTATCACGCGTCTCCTGGCCACTTCTGTCACTGACCCTTCCTTTGAGTCAGCTGTTGCGTCTGCCTTAGTTGCTGAGCTTGTCGACTTTGCTGCTAACTGTCGTCTAGACTACGCTGCGAGTCTTGTTGCTGAGTCTGAGTCTGAGTCTGTCTGTCTTCCGTCCGTCGGGGGTGAGTGTGCTCTTGGCACGGACGTCCTTGAGGACAGGCACGAGGAGTTTGAGTGCTTTGCTGCTGCTGTACCTCATCTTGTGGCCATGCTGCTTGCCCCTGAGGGAGACCCGGATGCTCCAGACATCCCGATCACGCGCTCTTACGCTGAGGCGATCGCGGGTGAGTACTCCTCTCAGTGGCAGTCAGCCATGGACGCAGAGATGGCATCCTGGAAGTCCACTGGCACTTACGTCGACGAGGTTCCCCCTCCTGGGGCGAACATCGTCAGTGGCATGTGGATTTTCAGGGTGAAGCGGCCGCCGGGTTCTCCGCCTGTCTTCAAGGCTCGTTATGTTGCTCGAGGCTTCAGTCAGCGAGAGGGAGTAGACTTCTTTCAGACCTTCTCCCCCACCCCAAAGATGACCACTCTTCGGGTGCTACTGCACGTTGCTGCTCAGCGTGACTACGAGCTTCACTCTCTTGACTTCAGCACAGCTTTCTTGCAGGGCAGCCTGCACGAGGAGATCTGGCTGCGCCGCCCTCCTGGCTTCACTGGGTCGTTTCCTCCTGGTACCCAGTGGAGCCTCCGGCGGCCGGTCTACGGTCTCCGCCAGGCGCCACGTGAGTGGCACGACACACTGAGGACTACTCTTGCGGCACTTGGGTTCGTGCCCTCTACTGCTGACCCGTCACTGTTTCTGCGCACCGACACTTCGTTGCCGCCATTCTACATCCTCGTGTACGTCGACGACTTGGTCTTTGCCACTGCTGACACTGAGGCTCTCGCCCACGTGAAGTCGGAGCTGCAGAAGAGACACACGTGCACAGACCTGGGTGAACTGCGCAGCTACCTTGGCTTGCAGATCACCCGGGACAGAGCACGCCGCACCATCACACTGACTTAGTCACACATGGTGCAGCAGGTCCTTCAGCGCTTCGGCTTCACCTGGTCCTCAGCACAAGCCACTCCTCTGGCTATAGGTCACTCGCTCTCAGCTCTGCCTTCAGATGAGTCGGTAGAGCCGAGTGGTCCTTACCTAGAGCTAGTTGGTTGCCTCATGTACCTGGTGACTTGCACTCGTCCTGACCTAGCATACCCTCTTGGCCTTCTGGCCCGCTATGTGGCTCCTGGCAGGCAACGAAAGGTGCACTGGGATGCTGCAAAGAGGGTATTGCGCTACTTGTGCAGTACATCGGGCATGGGGCTCGTGCTTGGAGGAGGGAGCTCAGTTGTTCTCAGTGGGCACTCAGACGCTTCTTGGGTTGACGACCAGGCTACTCAGCGGTCGTCACAGGGTTACACCTTCAGCCTTGGCTCTGGTTCAGTTTCTTGGCGTTCTACTCGCTCGTCTTCTGTTCTCAGCTCCAGTTGTTAGGCTGAGATCTACGCCACAGCCATGGCTGCACAGGAGCTACGCTGGCTGACCTACCTGCTGACCGACTTGGGAGAGCGGCCTAGTTCTCCTCCAGTGCTGTACGTCGACAACAAGGCTGCCATTGCCTTGTGTGAGGAGCACAGACTGGAGCACAGAACGAAGCACATCGCTCTCCGTTACTTCCTGGCTCGAGAGCTGCAGCAGCGCGGTCAGCTTCGTCTGCGTTACGTGGCCACTCAGGCCAACACCGCTGATATATTCACCAAGGCACTTCAGCCTGGTGATCATCAGCGCTTCTGCACTATGCTGGGGCTGGTGCCCACTTCTCCTCACTTGTTGTAGGCTTTGCCTGTACTGTGATCTCTATATATATATACCTGCCTGTTTGCTTTGCTAGGTTGAGATCACCTTGCTGTTTGTGTTGCATATATGCCTTTGCATGTGAACTGGCCCTGTGGCCCTTTGCTTGTGCTCAGAGTATGTGGTGACGTTGTGATCCACCCTGAGCTTGTTTGCCTTTCTTGACTGGTCTTGTGACCCCTTGCTCTCCCCCAATTTGCCTATGGGGGTGTGTCAAACATTATATATGTGTTATTGTTGTGTAGGCTACAGTGGGTTAGCCTTTAGGGGGTACACAACTCTAGGGTTTCATACTTGTACTCCAATGTTTCATAGTTCAATCACTTCTTGTTTCTGACAGAGCAGGCATCCCAGCTGCTGCTGGTAAGTCTGAACTCCAGCAGGGGATAGGGCTTTGTTGTCAGGTTTGTGGTTCGGTCCCGGAGTTCGATAGGGAGTTGAGAGCGGTGCAGGCAAAATGTTGAACCGCTTCCCTAACTCCTCTGCGTACTTAGCCGCTGAAAGGTGAATGGCCTCAGATGCGTAGGAGATGTTGAGGCCTAAGAACTGCTTCACCTCGTAGTTGCACGTGATGTCGACGCACCCCGCCAGGCTTTTCTCGAACTGCTCGAGTAACTCGTTGCATAGCTGTGCCCATCGTTTGTGTAGACGCGGTTCGCGTTCGTCTGCTCGTCGTGGCGGAACTGCTCGAGGAAAAGGCGTTCGTAATAGATTACATTGCAAGCGTGGGCGGTTTTCTGACTGAGGAGGTCCAGCACGATCCACGCTTTGTACTCGTGACTGATGCCGAGGTGAATGCCCCAACGCGCGCGGCTGGCAAATTTGCCAATGGTGTTAGAATCAACAAGTGTGTGTGAACTAACAAGATTGGGAGTACAAGTAGGAAACCCTAGAATGTTGTACCCCCTAAGGCTAAACCCAATATAGCCTACATAATGTAAACATATAATGTTTGACACACCCCCATAGGCTAAGTGGGGGAGAGCAAGGGGTCACAAGACCAGTCAAAGCAAGGCAAAACAAGCTCAGGGTGGATCTCAAGGATGCCACACAAATTCCGAGCACAAGCAAGTGGTCACAAGACCAGTTCACATGCAGTTTGATAATATAACAAGAGGTACAGTGATCACAACCTAGCAAGTGTAAGCATGCAGGTATATATAGAGATCACAGTACAAGAAGAGTCAAGAAGTGAGCAAGTGAGGGACAGTAGGCACAAGGCCTAGAACAGTACAAAAACGCTGATGATCACAAGGCTGAAGCGCCTTGGTGAACACGTCAGCAGTGTTGGCCCGAGTGGCCACGTACGAAAGACGAAGCTGACCACGCTGCTGCAGCTCTCGAGCAAGGAAGTAGCGCAGAGCGATGTGCTTCGTTCTGTGCTCCAGTCTGTGCTCCTGACACAAGGCAATGGCTGCCTTGTTGTCGACGTACAGTACTGGAGGAGAACGAGGCCGCTCTCCGAGGTCGGTCAGCAAGTAGGTGAGCCAGCGTAGCTCCTGGGCAGCCATGGCTGTGGCGTAGATCTCAGCCTCACAACTGGAGCTGAGAACAGAGGAAGAGCGTGTAGAACGCCAGGAAACAGAGCCAGAGCCAAGGCTGAAGGTGTAACCCTGAGACGACCGCTGCGTAGCCTGGTCGTCAGCCCAAGAAGCGTCTGAGTGTCCAGTGAGGACAACGTCGCGCTGTCCTCCAAGCACAAGCCCCATGCCCGACATATTGCACAAGTAGCGCAACACCCTCTTAGCGGCATCCATGTGCTCCTTCCGGTGACGGCCAGGAGCGACATAGCGTGCTAGGATGCTAAGAGGGTATGCAAGGTCAGGTCGAGTGCAGGTCATCAGGTACATGAGGCAGCCCACAAGCTCTGGATACGGGCCACTCGGCTCTACGGACTCATCTGAAGGCAGAGCTGAGAGCGAGTGACCAGTAGGCAGAGGAGTGGGCTGAGGCGAGGAGTACGTGAAGCGGAAGCGCTGAAGGACCTGCTGCACCATGTGTGACTGAGTCAAGGTGATGGTGCGCTGTGCTCTGTCCCGGGTGATCCGCAAGCCAAGATAGCTTGTCAGCTCACCCAGGTCTGTGCACGTGTGTCTCTTCTGCAGCTCCGACTTCACGTGGGCGAGTGCCTCAGTGTCAGCAGTAGCAAAGACCAAGTCGTCGACGTACACGAGAACGTAGAACGGCGGCAGAGTGGTGTCGGTGCGTAGAAACAGCGACGGGTCAGCAGTAGAAGGAGCAAACCCAAGAGCCGCAAGCGTAGTCCTCAGTGTGTCGTGCCACTCACGGGGTGCCTGGCGGAGACCGTAGACTGGCCGCCGGAGGCTCCACTGGGTACCAGGAGGGAACGACCCAGTGAAGCCAGGTGGGCGGCGCAGCCAGATCTCCTCGTGTAGGCTGCCCTGTAGGAACGCAGTGCTGAAGTCAAGAGAGTGGAGCTCGTAGTCACGCTGAGCAGCGACGTGCAGCAGAACCCGAAGAGTGGTCATCTTCGGGGTCGGGGAGAAGGTCTGGAAGAAGTCAACTCCCTCTCGCTGACTGAAGCCTCGAGCAACGTAACGCGCCTTGAAGACAGGCGGAGAACCCGGCGGCCGCTTCACCCTGAAAATCCACATGCCACTGACGATGTTCGCCCCAGGTGGGGGAACCTCGTCGACGTAGGTGCCTGTGGACTTCCAGGAAGCCATCTCTGCGTCCATGGCTGTCTGCCACTGAGAGGAGTAGAGACCCTCCATCGCCTCTGCGTAGGAGCGTGAGGTCGGGATGTCTGGTGCATCCGGGTCTCCCTCAGGGGCAACTAGCATGGACACGAGATGAGGCAAAGCAGCGGCAAAGCACTCAAACTCCTCCTGTCTGTCCTCAAGGACGTCCGTGCCAAGGGCACACTCACCCCCGACGGACGGAGGACAGACTGACTCAGACTCAGCAACAAGGCTAGCGGCGTAGTCTAGACGACAGGCGGCAGCAAAGTCCACAAGCTCAGCGACTAGAGCAGACGCAGCATAGGACTCAAAGGAAGGGTCAGTGACAACAGTGGCAAGGACAGTAGGACTGGCAGCACGAAGAGAGTCAGACTCCGGGTCAGCAAGAGCAGGAAGAGAGGACGCAGGAGGAGACGGCAGAGGGACACGCTGTGGAGCAGTGGAAGGACGCAGAGTCATATAGTGAGTGCCAGGGACAGGAGGAGGTCGCTCACGCGGAGCACGACGACCAGAGCGGACAGCGCGGACAGGTGACTCTGGACGCGACTCAGACAGCGCTGGACGAGACTCAGGCGACGGAGGACGAGACTCAGGCTCACGACGCTCCGTAAGACTACCCGTCGGCGCAGTGTAAGGAGAAGGGGCAGGCAGCGGAGAGGCAGACTGTAACTGCGACTGGACAGACGGTGGACTCAGTTGGGGAGGAGAAGGACCAGTAGAGGGCGGGGGACCAAGAACCTGCTGAAGGAGCGGAACGTAGTACGGCCGAGGCCGCTCAGCACCTCCAGCGACAACCCCCTCAGCAGGCCCAGTCCCAACACCTCCAGTACCTCCAGTACGAGCACCCCCAGGACCAGCGGCTCCAGCAGCTCCAGCAGCACCAGCACCAGCAGCACCTCCAGCAGCGCCAGCAGCACCGCCAGTAGCAGCAGCACCTCCAGCAGCTCCAACAGCACCAGCAGTACCTCCAGTAGTAGCAGCACCTCCAGCAGCTCCAGCAGCACCAGCACCAGCAGCACCTCCAGCAGCTCCAGCAGCACCAGCAGCACCACCAGCACCAGCAGCACCTCCAGCAGCGTCAGCAGCACCAGCAGCACCTCCAGTAGTAGTAGCACCTCCAGCAGCTCCAGCAGCACCACCAGTAGCAGCAGCACCTCCAGCAGCTCCAGCAGCTCCAGCACCAGTAGTACCTCCAGCAGCGCCAGCAGCACCGCCAGCAGCAGCACCTCCAGCAGCTCCAGCACCAGCAGCACCTCCAGTAGCGCCAGCAGCACCGCCAGCAGCAGCAGCACCTCCAGCACTAGGGTCCGCGACACTAGGCGCGCCACTCCGGAGACTGCAGCGCCGAGCGTACCACTCTCGGAGCCGCTGGGGAGAGGGCAGCTCCCGCCTAGGAGGGGAAGCACTAGCACCAGCTCCAGCAGCACTCCTAGCTCCAGAAGCACCTCTCCTGAGGCTGCAGTACTGTAAGTACCACTCACGCAGCTGCTGTGAGGAGAGAGATCCTCCAGGTGTAGCACTCCCAGGCTCAGCACCTCCAGACTCAGCACCCCCAGACTCAGCACCCGCAGGCTCAGCACCCCCAGACTCCGCAACCCCAGGCTCCGCACCCCCAGGCTCCGCACCCCCAGGCTCCGTACGCTCAGGCTCAGCACCCCTAGCAGGACGAGAGTCGACAGCTACCTTGACAGGCTCAACCGGGTCTACCTGGGACACACCTGAGGGAGCGGCACCCTGAGGGGGGAGGGGGTCTACCACAGCAGCACCTGGCGCGAGGAAGAGAGGCGGGGGGGGGAGCGGGGCAGTGCGGTAGGGGAAGAGGCGGTAGTAGGGCACCGACTCGTCAAAAGTGACGTCCTGAGAGGGCAGGACACGGCGCGAGGTGGCGTGGTAAAACTGCCAACCAGACGCGTCCGGGACAAAGCCAAGGAAGACACAAGGAACAGCGCGGGAGGAGAGCTTGTCCGCGGACGTATCGCGGACAAAAGCTCGAGATCCCCAGACCCGGAAACGCGACGCATCGCCAACCTCCCCCGTCCACAGCAGTGTGGGTGAGGTCTCCCGGGGCCAGAGGTTGAGCTGATGCGCAGCGTACCGGACCGCAAACGGCCACAGAAAGTGGGGGGCAACCACATGGATCAAGGAGGTACGAGCGACCTCCATGACCAAGCCAATGCGGCGCTCAGCAACCCCATTCTGCTGTGGAGAGGCCGGAAGCGTGAACGACTGGCGGATGCCGTGCTCCGCACAGTAGGCTGCCAAGAGGTCGGAGGAGAACTCACCACCTCTGTCAGAGTGCAGACGCAAGACAGGAAAGTCTGAGTGGAACCGCTCGCTGAGCTGGAGACGAGAAGCGCGGATCCAAGGGATCAAAACATCAGGGACCTCACCCTTGGTGCGCAAGGGGAAGACCGTGGTGTAGCGCGAGTAGTCGTCAACAACGATCAGGAAGTACCTCTCCTGACCCTGTCCACGGACGCGGGCTGGGCCCCACACGTCCATGTGGAGCGTCTGCAAGGGAGCAGTTGTCGGAGGAAACGAGGAGGAGTGAGGAGCGGCGCGCTGCCGCCCCTCGACACAAGGAAGACAGGGAGGAGCAGGCGAGGGTGGGAGGGGAGGGAGTACCCGGGGAAGACCAGAGACAAGGTACCGTTTGTGCATGACACGAAGGCGCTGCACTGACGGGTGACCAAGGCGGTGGTGCCAGAGGACGGTCTCGTGTGCTAGAGAGCGACACGAGCAGGGGGCAGACAGCTGACCTGAAGCAGACGCAGACGCAGCTACCTGAGGGGACTCAGTGGTCAGTGTGTACAGGTCCGACCCCGGCTGCCGAGTGAAGGTAGCCAGGTGACGGCCCGTCCGAGCACACGTGCAGTGTGTCACGCGCTCGTAGGCAGGGGTGAACTGGTGGACACCCCCGTCCTGGAGCGCACAACCCGCCACCAAGTTCGTAGAGAACGAGGGGAGGTGGAGACCTGACAGTGTGCCCAACGGAACCGCAGGACAAGGAAGGACAGTGGAGGAGGTCGCAATGACCGGACCCCCAGAGGGGTCAGCAAGGGAGACAGCAACTGGCCGAGCAAGCTGCTCAAGGGCAGTGCGGTCACGAAAGAAACAGCGAGAAGCACCTGAGTCCAGTGTGAAGGTGTGCAGTGCCTCAGTAGACTCATTACTAGGGGGGGCAGGCTCACGAGTACCTAGAGCAGCAGCCTCACCAGCACCTGGGGCAACAGACACTCTAGCACCTAGAGCGGCAGCCTCACCAGTACCTAGAGCAGCAGACTGGATACCGGGGTCAGGCGGCACACAGGTGACAGGCACTCTCAGTACTAGTAGACAATGCATACATGGCAGTGAGGATAGCATCATAGTCAAGAGCAAAGATATCTACCCTCTGCCTAAGCAGCTCCACCCAGTCGGGGAGCTCAGCGTCGTCGCCAAGCTCTGTACGCCAACCGTCGCCCAGACGGGCGAAGCAGTGGGACTCTGTGTGACCATGTGTCCCGCAAGGCTGACCAGTCCGGACACCTGTGCGAATGACGTTCGGGCAGCGAGCAGTACTCAGTGACCCTCTACTCTGAGCGTACCACTCACGAAGCTGCTGGGACGAAAGAGCCTCGCGTAGACGACGCGGCTGCTGCACCGGGCCACTGCAAGAAACTCCCGAACTACCCACTCCAGGACGACTCCCACTACTGCCACCCCGACAACCCCAACTGGCGTACCACTCACGAAGCTGCTGGGACGTGAGGGACACACGCGGACGGCCCTGGAGCTGCATCTGGCCACGCCAGGAGCAGCAGTAGAAGCAGTAGCAGCAGCAGTAACAGCAGTAGTAGTACGGGCAGGGCAGTGCTCACCAGTGGTGGGAAGGGCAGGCGTACGAGCGGGGCGACTGCGGGGCCGCCACAGCGGCCGCTCCAAGGGCGGCTGCTCCAGGGGCGGCTGCTCCAGGGGCCAGGAGCGGCTCCTGCAGTGGCAGCTGCTCCAGGGGCGGCTGCTCCAGTGGCCTGGGGCGGCTGCTGCAGGGGCGGCTGCTCCTGGGGCGAGGGGCGGCTCCTGCAGTGGCTGCTGCTCCAGTGGCCGGCGGCTTCAGTGGCCAGGGGCGGCTGCTGCAGGGGCGACTGCTCCAGGAGCCAGGGGCGGCTGCTGCAGGGGCGGCTGCTCCAGAGGCCAGGCGCAGGTTAGGTCAGGGCGACTCAGCGGGCAGGGGCGACGCGCGGGCAGGGGCGACGCGGCGGGCAGGGCGGCGCGGCGGGCAGGGCGACGCGGCGGGCAGGGGCGACGCCGTGGGCAGGGCGACGCGGCGGGCAGGTGGCGACGCCGCGGGCAGGGCGACGCGGCGAGCAGGGGCGACGCCGCGGGCAGGTGACGACGCCGCGGGCAGGGCGACGCGGCGGGCAGGTGGCGACGCCGCGGACAGGTGGCGACGCCGCGGGCAGGCGCCGACGCCGCGGGCAGGTGTCGACGCTGCGGGCAGGGCGACGCGACGAGCAGGTGACGACGCCGCGGGCAGGGCGACGCGGCGGGCAGACGGCGACGCCGCGGGCAGGTGGCGACGCCGCGGGCAGGTGACGACGCCGCGGGCAGGGCGACGCGGCGGGCAGGTGGCGACGCCGCGGACAGGTGGCGACGCCGCGGACAGGTGGCAACGCCGCGGGCAGGCGGCGACGCCGCGGGCAGGGCGACGTGGCGGGCGGCGAGAGCCTGCAGGGGCGGCGCGCGGTCGGGCAGAGGCTGCGCGCGGGCCTGACGGGTCTGCAGGGGCGGCTCTCGGGCCTGACGGGCCTGCAGAGGCGGCTCGGGGGCCTGACGGGTCTGCAGAGGCGGCTCGGGGGCCTGACGGACCTGCAGGGGCGGCTCGAGGGCCGTACTAGCTTGCAGGAGGCAGCGCGAGGGCTACAGGACGGCACTCGGGCAGACCGAAGGGCGGGGCGCGTGAGGGCGCACGAGCAGAGGAAGGCGCACGAGGGCGCACGAGGGCGCACGAGGGCGCACGAGGGCGCACGAGGGCGCACTAGCAGAGAAAGGCGCACGAGGGCGCACGTAAGGTAGGGCGCACGAGGGTGCTTCTAGCGGAATAGTGGGCCCGTAGTAGAAAGCGGTCCTAGGTAGCAACCTAGGCTCGTGATACCAAGTTAGAATCAACAAGTGTGTGTGAACTAACAAGATTGGGAGTACAAGTAGGAAACCCTAGAATGTTGTACCCCCTAAGGCTAAACCCACGATAGCCTACACAATGTAAACATATAATGTTTGACAAATGGTTGATGTCGGCGGGCGGTATTGCACCATGCACCCCCACACGCGGAGCATGGATGTGTCCCCCTTAGTCCTTGTCCATTTGACATGTGGTGACAGGTTGCCGGTGATGGCGGTGGTTGAGAGCAGGTTGTGCACCCGCACGGCGTGGTGCATCGCGTAGGTCCAGTAGATCGGCGGCAGTTTCGATTGCTTCATCAGCGCCCGCACTTTTGTCATGCTATGCCCTGCTGCTGGTGCGCGTAGGGGAGAGAAATGTGGTGCTCGATCCCCTTTTGCGCCAAGTAACTCTGCATCTGGTTGCTCCTGAACTCTACTGCGCCGTCAGATTGCCTAATTTTCATCTTCTCCCCAGACTGCCACTGCGCGTGCGCCAGCCAGAGGCGGAATACCTCGTAGGCTCTATCGCGAGCGTCGATGAAGGTGAGCGTGTACATTTCGTTGTCGACTCCGCAGTGCCCCACGTTCAGGAAGTCGCTGTACACCCTGTGCAGCTTGGGGTAGCGGTTCGTCCCTGGCTCGAGCAGGGGGAACGGTTGGTGGTTCAGTGTAGCTTCGGGGCAGATGGTGCAGTTGCGCGGATGTGTTGCGCCTCTCACTTCAGTGCCATCTGGGCGCAGGAGCGCTCCTGGAGCGAAGACGCCTGCGTCGATGCAGTTTTTCAGCGTCGCGCGCGAAGGATGTCCGAGGCGCTGGTGCCAGAGTGCATCGTCAGCGCGAAAGCCGGAGGTGCGCATGTAGCGCGCGCAAGCTTCTTCGAGGTCTTCGTCAGGTACGGGGGCAGGTTCTGCTGCTGCCTCTTCCCCGTCATTAGCGGTAGTCAGCATCAGCGCCAGAAATTCTCTGTCGCGAATCTCAGAGAGAAGGATGTTGGTCCCAAGGATGGTTCTAGGAACGAAGGTGGGTTCGTGCGGCTCGAGAGCAGGTCCGTAGATGGTGCGACGCGGGGTTGACGATTCGTTGCCCCAGTCGATAGTGTCCCATGGATCGCGGCACGGTGGGTTGTCAGGAGGAGGTAATGCGAGTGGAGCATGGCGCGGGGGACGGCCAAGGGGAACAACTGCATGTGTTGTTGTTTCTGCTTCCTCTGCTTCTTCTTCTCCCCCCTTTTGTTCTTCGCGGGAAGTCCCCCAGCCACTGTTATCGGCGCCAGTTGCGGCGCCCCATCCGCCGCTTGCGTTGGCCCAGGTTCCGCCGCTGGTGCCCCATCCGCCGGTATCACTCGTTCCCCATCCGCCAGCGCTTCCCCACCCCCCTTCATTGGTGGCACTCTCTTCCGCTTCAGCTCCCCATGCGTTGCAGGCGAATGTTCCGCGTGCCTCGGCGAGGCTCTGTCGGCGAAGCTCCTCTGCTTCATAGCGCGCCTGTTCTTCCTCCTCCTTCACGGTAAGTTTCCTTGCGGGGTCGCGCCAATGGGGGTAGACCTTCAGAAATTCTTTGAGAGTGTAGGGGCGTGCGACTCCGCGCGCATCACAGGTTCCGCGGCGTTGTCCGCGAAGGATGCCTTCGAGCCGCTGAGATGGTGGTCCAGCGTGGGGACTTTGGTCGGTGCCGAATACACGCAGTGTGGTGACTTCTAGCTCCATATGCGACATTCCTTCTTCGGGCGGCGCGTGCCGCTCTGCTTCGGCGATGGCGGCGAGTCCGCGGCCGGAAATTGCGCTAGTCGACGCCGTCGGCGTGTGACAATCCCTGCAGATGCCATCTGGGTCAGGGTCATGCAGCGTCGTTTCGCGTGGGTGGGGATGATGCGGTACCCACGGTCTGCCGTCAGGGTGCTTCCAATCCCTGCGGTGGATATGCTCGAAGCGCAGTGGCACGAGGTCGATTAACTCGTGCGAATCGCCGCTGCAGTCGGGGATGTCGAAGTCCAGGACATACACTCCATTTTCGGAGTGCGC